AACCTCCCCGCTCGAGCGTCACACACAACATCCCGCTCGAGCGTCAAAACTCCCGCTCGAGTGTACAACACTGCAGAGGAGATACTGGAAGATGGAAAACTACGCTTGAGCGTCGAAAACCCCGCTCGAGCGGACAAACAACAACGAAGGGCCCGCTCGAGCGTCAAAATCCCCGCTCGAGCGCGAAAGCCAAAATCTGGGCAACTACTCTTGGTTTCCAAGTTCAACCAACCTGTTTCAAACTTGCCCAACACAACCCAATACTCGAACACAAGGAGTAGAGGATGTAAACAAGGCACACACAACAACTAACTCCACGGAACCTAAGTAGGGATACAACAATTAAAGAAAAGGGAAACTGGGATCGCTATAACCTCCCCCCCTTAAAGAATTTTGGCCCCGAAATTAAACACAAGTTTTCAAAAACAGGTTTTCTCCATTCTCAACATTATTATAACATAATATTAAACAACCCGACCCATTACCGGTCAATTCCTTCTCTTTTCAAGAGGCATTTCACAACACATATCACAAGTGCATTATCAACATGCAATTTTTGTCCATTTTCAACCATTCCCAACATGCATGGTTCACAGTTCATATCATAATCAATGTACATGATACAACTCCAGTTCTACAATATAGCCAACATATGCAATATCATAATCAACTCCCATATCAGGGTAAGTTCTACAACATACTTTCATTAAACCAAAACATTACCAATGTTTTACAACTTAAGACATATTTAAAGCTCTTAAGTCCAACAATATTACAAAATTTCATTACAAAATTACTCATCAATAAACAAGTCCGGATATTTCTCGCGGACCTCCAACTCACGTTCCCAAGTGGCTTCCTCCACTCCGTGATGTTTCCATAAAACCTTTACCAAAGGAATGGTCTTGCCACACAGGACTTGATCCCGCCTATCCAAGACCCGAACCGGTCTGTCCTCATACGAGGCATCCTCATCTACCTCTAAGTCGGTCCAATCTAACACATGCGATGGATCCGGCTCATACTTCCGAAGCATACTCACATGAAACACGTCATGCACTCCGGACAATTGCAGCGGTAAGGCTAAACAATAAGCAACCTCACCAATCCTCTCAAGGATCTCAAAAGGCCCAATAAACCGAGGGGATAACTTCCCACTCTTAAGTCAAACGATAAGCAACTTCCCCAATCCTCTCAAGGATCTTAAAGGGATCGATAAACCGAGGGGATAACTTCCCACTCTTCCCAAACCTCATCGAACCTCGCCTAGGTGATATTTTCAAGAAAACATGATCACCTACCTCAAACGCCAAAGGCCTCCTCCTACGGTCGGCATAACTCTTTTAGCGACTCTGGGCTGTAACAAGCCTCCTACGGATAAGTTTAACTTTCTCCGTCGTCTCCCTAACCAACTTCGGACCCAACAAAGGTGCATCACCCACCTCGGCCCAACAAACTGGAGACCTAAACGGTCGGCCGTACAAGGCCTCAAATGGTGCCATGCCGATACTAGTCTGAAAGCTGTTGTTGTAGGCAAACTCTACCAAGGGCAAGTGCCTCTCCCACGTCCCACTGAAGTCAAGGACATAACCTCGAAGCATATCCTCAAGGATCTGAATAGTACGCTCGGACTGCCCGTCAGTCTGAGGGTGATAAGCCGTACTAAAGGTCAACTTAGTGCCCAAGGCACTCTGCAAACTCTGCCACAACCTAGCAGTAAAACGAGGGTTTCTATCTGAGACGACGATCGTCACTGGGACCCCGTGTAATCTCACTATGTCCCGAATATACAAGTCGGCAAGATGATCTACCGAGTCTCTCACGCGCATAGGAATGAAATGCGCCGACTTAGTGTGTGTATTTCTGTTGGTATAGTAGAATCACAAATTTTGTAGAGTTTTCTTCTGTCTGTGTATTTATCCTCTTGCGGTATTGGATATGGATATGTATTTGATAAGTTTAACAAAGGGTGGAGGAGTCTGCATGATTGGGTTTTCTTACTGATTTTTGCAGAGTTGATTTTAACAGAGGAGTCTAAAATGCATATATAATTTTGCAGAGTTTTCTTACTGATTTTTTCTTTTTCTTTTTCTTTTTCTTTTTCTTTTTGGTAACTGATAAGTTTCTCTTTCTCTTTGCTCTCTTATTTACTCTCCAGATTTGTTTCTCTTTGCTCTTTTATTTACTAATATATATATGCATTTTATTTTGGTTGACATGGATATGGATTTGGATTTATAGATGTGTCTTGAATTTTGGATTTGCTGTCAAGGTGTTGCTTATTTGGTAGGTTATGCCTTATTTTGAAAGTTCTTGGGAATTAGTTGTTTAAAGTCTCCCCCTAGTAACGTGCTATAATTATTCAGTTTTAAAAGCTCTCTCTCATGTCACTTGCACTTAGATGTACACTTCAAACAACAATTTTAACATCTGCACTAAAGATGCAAAGATCTGCTTTTTTTCATTGTTGCGATTATTGTTAATTTCTAAGAACAATGGATGCCCAGTTAGGAGAAATTAATAGCGTTTTTCATTGTTTAGGTTGTAAGTTTAGGGTTCAAAGAACAATCTTACTTTGTATGTGCCTTTTACCATGGAGCTTATAATGTTTTGATATATATACAGGGTACATACATTCTTACAATGAAGATGGAAGATGGAAACAAAAATCAGTTGACTTGCATCAACTTTGATTTCAGCATTGGGTTTTTTGTGTCTGACGCTGTAGCTGCGCTTTGAAGATTGGTTTCATCAGCCACCGATTTTTTTTCTGGTTGTACTATAATTTATCAAATGATGTGTCTTTCAACTGCAGATTGTGTCCATGGGTAGGAAGAAGTTCAGTGCAGATTTCCAGCTGATGTTCAGACTTCTCAAGCTGTTCCTGTTTATTGGATCTGTGGTCACTGTTGTCACTTTGTTCGCATTCCTCAGTCTTACTGTTTATTTTATTGTTTTTTTTTTTTTTAGCTAACCAAAATGAGATTTTAATCCTTGTGTTTAATAGAAATAATAATTGATGTAATTGTTGTTTGGACCTTAAGACGTGAATTATTTACTATCAGTATCTTCTTACACTTCTATTGTCATGTACAAAACTCTATATTTCACAGAAATATATGTGCTTATTTTCAATTTCTGGGTTAAAGATTTACAACTTCATTTTATCTATATGCAAAATTTAATTGCCAAGAACTTCTCGCTTCTGTCTTCACTGCTTGCGTGTTTGTTCATTTCTCTGTGTGGGTTTTTCTTCGGACCTACTCCTGATATCTGGTTGTTATATTTGAAATTTCTTTTGAATGAGTAGTCCTTGTGCCCCTCATGATTGAGTGAACATACTTAGACATGCCCAGTCCTTTGAGGAAATTTTCTGTGTGATTGTTCTTTCTGAGTTTGGCAAGATTTTTTGTTGTTTATCATTCAGGTGAAGCAATCTCTGGAGGAAAATTGGTGATTGATGTTGCATATTTTGGATTCCACATCTACAGTGAGACTGATGAACTCTGCGGGAAGACATCTTGCTCCATTTCTGCTGGTGATTTTTTAATTTCTCACTCTCAGGATTTACCTGGGTTCACTCCACCGGTAAGTCAACTTATAATTTAATTGTTGCAATGATATTGTGCATTAACATACTATGTGTTTATTTCATGTTTAGAACAACCCATGTCCAATTGGTGGCTTTCGTTTGTGGTTTGGAATCAATCAAAGACACAGCTTGCAATCTCATCTGGAACGCATTAATAAAAAGCAATTTTTTTCTAATTTCTTAGCCTCTCTCTTTCCAGGGATTGCAACTTCTGATGGCTTGCCTTTGTAGTCGCTATTGCTTGGTGTTGATTGCCTTAGGTTAGGCCTTTAGGAGTAAAACATAGTAATGAATTTTTTTGTAATGGTTGGTATTGCTTGCCTTAGGCCTTTAGTATATCTCTATAGGACGCTTTAATGCAATTTGTTAGTAACTTTCAGCCGAAGCCTATGTTTTTTGAAATTGCATTACTACGAAAATGGTTGTATTATGATGTGATTCAATGTATTGGAAATACAAAACATATAGTAACTAATATTTTCACTCCATTCGGGAAAAGAAAATGATCCATAGCTATCAAAACATCCAAGCAAGGTTAGGCGATAGCCCTGTAGGTAGCCTAGGGGTTGTAACCCTGATTGCTTAGGCAACATCTTTGGTTGTTTTCCTGGAAACTTTATAACTTGAATCTGTTGCTTGGCATACCTTTATAACTTATTTGGTCTATATAGTAGCAGTACATATGAATTTTTCCAACTCAAGTATGACATCATTACATCACTGTAATCCTTAGAAAATAATTTTAATTGTCAACAGTTGGGGGAAAAACTGTCATGGCATCGGTCACAACATTCATAATCCATCAAAATCAAGTCAATAACGTCAAATTAAATATTGATAGAAAGATAGCTACTTAATTGAATATGGAATTGGTTAGAAAGTTTTTGTTTATTAGTCGTATTGTCTATCTTGCCTTGTTATACATTGCTTGAAGTTAAGCACCTTTTTCAGATTAATTTCAAAGATCTGCTTTTTTTCATTGTTGCGATTATTGTTAATTTCCAAGAACAATGGATGCCCAGTTAGGAGAAATTAATAGTGTTTTTCATTGTTTAGGCTGTAAGTTTAGGGTTCAAATAACAATCTTACTTTGTATGTGCCTTTTACCATGGAGCTTACGGTGTTTTGATATATATACAGGGTACATACACTCTTACAATGAAGATGGAAGATGGAAACAAAAATCAGTTGACTTGCATCAACTTTGATTTCAGCATTGGGTTTTTTGTGTCTGACGCTGTAGCTGCGCTTTGAAGATTGGTTTCATCAGCCACCGCTTGTAGCGTATAATCAATGTATATGATGAAATTCTTTTATCTACTGTTTCAGACCTTACATCTATTTCTACCTTTCCAGTGTCATGTGATGTTGATTATGACTATTAAAAATCAATCATATCTGTACATTTGATCCATGTGCCTAAAATTATTTCCACATTTGTGATAATTGTTTAAGTATACTCATGACTTCCCTTTAATGTTAAATCAGGTAATTGTGATAAAAAATAGCGAGTGATTGATCATTGTGACTAAATAGAAAGTCCACTATAGAAACTTCATTGACACTATCATAAACCTTGATTTGTAATTATATGAATGAAAAAATATTTTATTATGAAGAAATTATTATTTTTATATTATTATGGAGACATTTTTGTCACGCCCTTAAAATAGTAACATTTAATCCATCAATAGAGACATGCAATGATACATAAAAGCTCTATTTTCTTCTATTCATCAGAGTTTCATTACAAAGTATTACATGTTAACAACAAAAGCAAATGCCCTATGGGCTTACAGCTTTTCAAGTTAACACTTGGTTACAACAAAAGAGTGCTAACTCATTTACACATTAAGCCCTTGGCTTGAATATACATGTAATACATCAAAGAAATAAGACAACAAAAGTATGTCCGCCTCTAGCCTCCCAAGCTATGTCCTTGGAGGTGGCATGCTACCTGCACCTAAAAATGATATTCCCATATAGGGTGAGCCACAGCCCAGTAGAAATATACTAAACCAAATATGAACAATGACTAAAAGATTAGCAGTTAATAGATGGCTAACACTGATACTTTTTCTTATCACATTTTACGGTTTCGTGACATACAAGTCCATTTTACAATCCATTTTTCATTTCTTTTCAAATTCTCAGTTTATAACCCTGGCTCAGAACCTGGCCAAACAACTCATATGAGACAATAACTCACATTAAGCACTTTCCCATTTCATCATAGATAAGCATACTAGCTATATCACACACCAACAGATAAGCATACAAGCTATATTATCACTTCCACAGATATGCATAAGAGCACTATCACATTTCCAATGACAAGCATATGAGCTCTGTTAACACATTACTAGATAAGCATATGAGCTCTATCTATGGAGTCCATCCCCTATCTCCTTCCAACACCATCCAGTTTAGAGGTCCATCCCCTATCTTCCCCTAAACAGTGGAGTACATCCCCTATCTCCTCCAACACAACACAATGCATATAAACAATAATTATACACATCATTAACCAATACATAACATTTAATGTATTCATTCAACCGTCATACTCAATGACACATTCCGGTGATTAGTTTTAGTTCGCCTAATCATCATACATTGTCTACAACAATCAAGACTATCCTCCACCGATAGAAGCAGTTATTTCTATACAGAAAGCAAATGCAACAATGGATATATAATCAACATTTCAACTAGGTGAGTGATAAATAATCCAACTACACCCTTTAACCCCTTCCCTTTCCAATTTCCATATTCTCAATTCAATTCCTCATTCCCAACAATTAATTATACAAATTAATCAGTCAATGTAATTAGGGCATTTTCCATAATTAACATTACAACCTTAGGTTCCATTTTCATTAATGTTTCAACATTAATTCCACTTTCCCATGCCAAACATGCATTTAGGTCTTATATAAATAAAAACCTCAACTTTTGTAAAATTTACACAAAGGCCCCAAACTTTCACAAAATTACCAAACCTTCCCCAACATCTCAAAATACTAAAATTTAAAGACAAAGCTCATAGTAAGGAGTAGGTTATCCCTATCTCAAAAGATGACTCCCAACTGAGAAGACGAAGAAAACGGAAGTGCTCCAAACCACAAACTTTTCGGATCAAAAGGTAGCCCTCGACGATCAACAACTCTTTTGTAAAGGCCAAAGGTGAGCAAATCACTCCTAGTAGATCAATACCTAGAGAGAAGGTAGAGCTCTAGAGTGAGAAGCTCAACAATGGTGTTTTTGGAAAAGTAAGAGAGAGAAGAGAAATGAAAAAAGTGATTTGAAAAGTCAAAACACGGGCTTTAACCCAATCACTCGGCTCGAGTGTCCAACGCCCCGCTCGAGCGTCACTCACAGACTCCAGCTCGAGCGTCAACAATCCCGCTCGAGCGGCGAATACACACTCTCAGAACTTTTACAGAACCAGGTCTCCGCTCGAGCGTCAACTCTCCCGCTCGAGCGTCACACACAACATCCCGCTCGAGCGTCCAAACTCCCGCTTGAGCATACAACACTGCAGAGGAGATACTGGAAGATGGAAAACTACGCTCGAGTGTCGAAAACCCCGCTCGAGCGAACAGACAACAACGAAGGGCCCGCTCAAGCGCCAATATCCCCGCTCGAGCGTGAAGGCCAAAATCTGGGCAACTACTCTTGGTTTACAAGTTCAACCAACCTGTTTCAAACTTACCCAACACAACCCAAGACTCGAACACAAGGAGTAGAGGATGTAAACAAGGCACACACAACAACTAACTCCACGGAACCTAAGTAGGGATACAACAATTAAAGAAAAGGGAAACCGGGATCGCTATAGTCCCACACAGTCCTGTCGTATTATAGCCGGCAAAAGGGAAAAACGGATAGTTTTCGAAAATGTTTTAGGTGCTCACGTCCCTGCAGTATAATAGTCGGAAAATTGTGGGGGTGGTTTCAAAAAGTTGAAAATGGTTTTCGGAAAAAAAAATATGTTTTTGATAAAATGATTTTGGGATTCACTTCCTGCCGTATAATAGCGGGCAAAAGGTGGACCGTACTATGAATTGGGTGCCCGCTATCTCGCCGTATCAAGCCGACAAAATGTGGAATGTGTTATGAAGTGTGTTGAGGTCAGTTTTGATTATGTGATTTGTGATGAACTTGTGAATTACCATCTGATGTGTAAATTGGTATGGAATGGGAATAGCATGTATGTGGGATGTTTGGAGTGTTAAGGGAACTTGAACTTGAGGTTATGACGTTATAATAAATGTAACTAGAAAAATGGGAGAATGAGAATAAAAAGAGGAATGTTAAGATAGAAATTAAATAAGGAATATTTTAGAATGAGTTAATAAATTTAAAATGATATTGTTCCTTAAATATATTTGTTTTTAAAAAGGATTTATGGTTTTCTAATAAAAAAAGATAGTTTTTTATGGTTGAAGGTTTCCTTTAAATGTTCAAATAAATTTAGAGAAAAAGGTACTCTACATATGATGTTTTGAAATTACAAAACATTACATTACTATATGGTATCTCCCTACATGCATGATCATTTTTATCTATAGGATGGTTATTGTTTTAGAGCTATGAGATTTCTATTGAGCAATTGTGTTCACCCCTTGTTGTTTCATTTTTTAACAGGAAGAAAATTCAGATTGATTGGTTGAAGGATTAAGAAGTTCATGTATATCTTATGTGTAATCTCATTGTACATTTCTATTTGTAGTTATTTATTTGTAACTCCGTAGTGGAAACTTAACATGTATTATTATTGTTGTTGTACTCATCATGAGAGAAAATACGTATTATTATGTTTCTATTACTTAAGGGTAATAGATATTTGTTTTTTTTTTTAAAAAAAAAAAAAAAAAAAAAACATAAATTAAAAACTTTAGATAATGATTCCGAGTAAATAAAAATTGAGGCGTGTCACTCAAAATGCCTTTTGGAGCCCCCCAAATTAAAGCCATTGTTTATTCATTTCATGATGGCACCATTGGCATGGCATTTCCTACCCTACCTACTGGTGTCTAAAATGCACATGCTGTAGGGGATCTGATCCTCTTATATTCCTATACACACCAAAAATAAAAAAAAAATCAAATTACAAATTATAAATTATAAATTCAATGGCCACGAACTTAATGTTAAATTTTAAATTGGGTTTTTAAATGAAAATGTATTTAGCAACTACACTTTTGTTTATACATACATAATTGGTAACCACAAATTTTAGGTCTATGATTTGGATTTGTTGAGTTTTAATCTTTTGTTCAAATCCTCTTCTTTCATTTTCCTCCAAGTTTTTTTCTTTGTTGTATGATGTATTGTTTTATTTGAATGCGGGTTAAAAGGTGATTTGTGATGGAAGAACACGACAAATTTAGACATAAAATATTATCAAATTTGTTTTAAGTAGGTTTATTAGGCCATGTTTGTATGTTGGATTAGGTTTAGGTCAAGTTTGGCAACCCAAAATACGTACACACTTTTTATCTTTTTATCTTTTTTTCATCACATTACCTCTCTACTTTTCTGCACATCTTTTCGTAAAAAGACAAAAAGTACACTTTTTTAAGACACCCCAAACCAACCCTAAATCTATAACGCTAAAGTTCTCAATATATATACAAAGCAATTTTGTTATTTTTATATAACGGGGTTAAAATAACATTTTCATCTCCAATTCTCCTTCAAGGGGATTCGTAAGTCCTATAAGACTGATAATTTTGAAAAACGAACATGCTTTTAAGTAGAGGTACTAAATTGTTAATCCAATTTACCACGCTTATAGAGTAAAATAAACATGGTTTTAAATTCAAACTCTAAGGGGAGTGTTTGGGAAGTTAAAAATTGGGTTTTTTGATTAAAATTCATAAAAATATAAAATGTGTTAAAATAGTCAATAAGATAAAATGTTATATTAAACTTATAATGATTTCACTTTTTCTCTCACAAACATTATATTTAATTATAAAAAAATCTAATTCTCTTTTTAAATACAAATATTTTAGTCTATTAAAATAGTCTACTACAATAATTAACTTTCTAAATGAGATCTAAATATCACTCATTTCAATGTATGTATATTAGATATAAGCATTTATATTTTTGTATAATAATATGCATATGTACAATTCACATAAAATTAGGGATTAATATTTGGGCCTACATTTGTTTACTTTTTTTGCTGAACAATTTGCTGGCGAGCAGTGGCAACTTTTGAGATCACATGGGGCGGGCTTCTTGTTCTTACTATTTGGGCCTACATTTGTTTACTTCTTGTTATTATTCTCATGACTAGTGGCATGAGATTCGATTCTCACTAACGACAAATAAATTTGATAATAATTATTTTCTTTTTTGTTCTCTGCTTTTTGAGAAGGTTTTTTTTTCTGTTTTTTT